TGTGTTGGGAGTCTCTAGCTCACGGGCCTGTACCTCACTTCCCCCACAGGTCATGGCATGACCTTGACCACAGTGTTCTGAAAGTCTTCAGAGAGAGTGATGTTTTTCTTTACAAAGGTCTATATTTTAGTTTTCAGAGGGAAAATATCTGATGATTGGTAGTTGTTACTGAGACAAAATTATCTGTAAATACCACCCACTTCTACCATCTGTTGATGTGACTGGACATTCATTTCTGTGGTTCTCAGTAAACCTGTAACATTTCGAGCTATGGGATGTTGGAACTTTTTTTTATAACCTGTGTTTTTTATAACCTGGGTCTGCTTTCTTGGGACTCCTAGGATAGCTCCAGTTACGTGGGTGGATGTAGTTGCCTCGTGCCCTCAAGTGCAGTGTTCTCACCCAAGCCTGTCTTAAGTTGCTGGGATGCTTACCAACACTAAGAGTACAAGTAAGCCGAGATCAAATAGTTCTCATCTTTGGCCTAAAAATAAGATTGTGAATCCATTTCCCAGTCTTTAGAGAAGCCCCTGTGATGATTTACCAAAGATACAAACCACTTCCCTTGTCAGAACGGCACGCATTGAAGATGAAGCTTCTGTAAATAAGCAGAAGAGTGTGTGTATTGAGGGCAGAGGTACAGCCCCTGCATGTGTGGGGTGGCCTCAGCTGGCTGGAGAAACACGGGTGGGAAGGACAAGGGAGCGCCTGCATCGGGTGTAGGCATAGCTGATAGCGGTCGTGAAGAATTTTGAGATGTAGGAAGAAAAGCACTATGGGAGGGGTTTTTTTCCCTAAATTAGTTATTTAAATCAGCACATGATAATATCAGTAAGTCATTTCATGTGTATGTAATTGTTAGTAAGTAAAAATGATTCTATACTGTTCAATGTATTTTATTTTACATTTTTGTCTAATAGTAGGCAAAAATTACTCTCCAGCTTGTTTTTTTTTTTTTTTGAACAGGTTTTTTTTTTTTTTTTTTTTAATTGAGGTAACATCGGTTTACAATACTGCATATGGTACAGAGGTACAGGATGACACCTCTTCAGATGTTTGTTGCCACACCGCTTTCCAGCTTTGTCAAAGCATTTTCATGTAGTGAAATTAAATCATATTTTATTTATTCAAATAAGTTGGGCACCAGCTGTTCTTCAAATGGCACTTCATGAAATAACAATAATGATGTGTCCTTATTTAGAAACATAAAATATATTCTGACAAATCCTGAGACCTCAGCATTCCATTCTTGATAAAAACTAAGAAATTATAATTTAAAAGCTTTGAAAGCACTAATATGCAAAAAGTAAAGGAAGTGGGCCTCCCTGGTGGCACAGGGGTTAAAGACATAGCGCTATCAAGCTATCCACAGACATTGCAATACGAGTTCGATCCCCAGCCAGGGAGCTGACCCACATGGCGCAGCAGACCTCTCCTGTCTCACCCGCTGCTCCCCTCAGCAGTGTATTTCAGGCAGTCCACCTGTTTTGTTTCCCACTTTGTCTGGTGAATCCTCTCACCTCCCGCACCTGTGGCTTAAACCTCGGTTCTTGTATGCATAAATAAATAAATAAATCTTTTTTTTTTTTTTTAAGAGTTATTTATTTATTTATACAAGCACTGGGTACAGTCAGAAGTGAGGGAGGGTGAGAGCATTCACCAGAGCCAGAGCGGGGAGCAGAGCAGACAGAAGGATGAAGTCCACTGCTGAGGGGAGCAGCGGGCGGCAGGAGAGGTCTGCGTGCCATGTGGGACCCTCCTCCGGTGGCTGGGGATGGAACCGGCGCTGCAGAGGCTGCGGGCAGCTTCGCAACCCAGCGCTCAACTGCTACGCCACCTGGGAGGCCCAATAAATAAATAAATCTTTAAAAAAAAAAGTAAAGGAATTATGCAGTGGAAATAGAAACAGGATAAAATAAATCATGAGAGGCTTATATAGCACCCCTACATGTGCAGTGTATCACCATAGTATTTCTTTCTCAAAGCAATAATAGAATCTTGTAATTTGCTCTGCCAGCAGAACATGTGAAACATTTACCAATAATCAGTCTGTATTGATTCATTCAGCAAGTATGTATTGACTACTGACTGTGACAAGCCACCACAGAGGTTCTGGGAACAAGTGGTGAATAAGTAACTCCCTTTACTTACTGTTCTCACAGCCAATGAGGAAGCTAGACTCAAACAAATTAATAAATGCTAAAAGGAAAAATGACAAATTGTGGTATGTTCTTCAGGAACAAATAGACCATTGTTATTATAGACTCATCCAGATTATAACATCTTTTTTTTTTTGCCTTGATATTTCGTACTGATATCTTGTTCTATAGTAACTTTGAAAAAGAGCTGATGGGGGCCTCCCTGGTGGCACAAGGGGTTAAGACGCAACCTATGAAGCTGTCCGCAGCCTCTGCGGCATGAGTTTGCTCCCCGGCCGGCCAGGGAGCAACCCACATGGCGCAGCAGACCTCTCCTGTCTCGCCTGCTGCTCCCCTCGGCAGTGTACTTTGGACCATCTGTCTGTTCTGTTCCCCACTCTGTCTCTGTTGGTTCCTCTCACCTCCCGCCCCCTTACCTCTGGCCTGTACCCCATTCTTGTATGTATAAATAAATAAATCTTAAAAAAAAAAAGGAGAGCTGATGGATTTGACCAAATTGTGTGTATACAAATTGTGGTATGTTTATTGTGCAACAAAAATGCCTCCCGGATGCTTATGTGCCAAGCGCTGTTCTAGGTCCAAGAGAAAGAGCAGAGGACAAAAGAGCATCGTAGTGTTGGGGGAGCTGTCACCCCAGTGGGAGGTCCGTGAACAACAATGCAGTAAATATCAGGAAGTGATATGTTACATGAAGAAAAGTAAAGCAGACTAAGAGCCTAGAGAGTGACCAAAATACGACTTTATTTCTATGAGGGAGTCTCAGAGGAGATGGTTTTCCCACCATTTTCCTTTTTTTTTTTTCAAAGATTTATTTATGCATGCAAGAACTGGGGTACAGGCCAAAGGTGTGGGGGAGGGGGTTGAAAGGATCCAACAGAGACAGAGTGGGGAGCAGAACAGGCAGATCTACTGAAATACACTGCTGAGGGGAGCAGTGGGTAAGTCAGGAGAGGTCTGCTGCACCATGTGGGTTGCTCTCTGGCTGGCTGGGCATCGAACTTGTGCTGCAGAGGTTGCTGGCAAGAGGTTGGACAGCTTCACAGTGCTGTGCTTAACCCCTTGCACCACCAGGGAGGCCGCATTTTCCTTCTTTTGTTATTGGGTCATTCAGCTAGTGAGTACAGAACATGAGGTCACCTTTGTGTTTGTTGGTATCGTCACATATTCATGCAGAGAGCTGTGGTGAGATCCTACTTCTTTCTAATTCTTACCACTAAAAGAGATGAATACCTGAATTATTTTCTTAATACCTTTAGCATTCTTCCATACATTTAAATATTTAGGAAATGCATCCATCCATCCATCCATCCATCCATCCATCCATCCATCCCGTTTATCCAAAACATATCCTTTGGTATCTGTTCTAGTTTTTAAAAATCTTGGGATATGATTCATTTGAATAAAAATCCTGTGTGATTAAATGTCTTCCAGATGTTTGATTATTATGTGGAATTGCTTCTGAAGAGAGTTCTTTTTATCCAAGTCTTTCTTCTAGTAAACTCTCAGCCATTGAAATTTGATGTCATGGGTGATCTTACAGTAATCCCAGCCTTAATGCCGAAAGCCCTAAATAAAGCTGCACACTACTCAAATGTTCTATAGCATTGCACAAGTCTAAAATAGGTAACTGGCACCCACCCCCCTTCATTGTTGGCTCACTGACTTGTCCTATAAATAGCTCGATGTTACATGATCAGGCAACTTCAACTAACTGAGAAGGGATTTTTTGTTTCCTAACATGTGTAGTTTTTTATATTCAACAAATTCACAGTCTAATTCACTGACCCCCAACTGTAACACAGTTCCTAGGAGAATTGTGCAAATTAGTGGCCAAATCATTTTGGATGGGATTCAAGATGGTCCTGCCAATCTTGCTCACAGATTAGAGCAACCTTCAGTGCTAGTTCTCTCTATGTTCAGGAAAACAACGCTGCCACACAGCCTGGGTAATCCCAATGAGCTTCTGTTGAGTGGTTCAAATTTCCCAGGTAAAGGCATCATGGTGGTTTTATAAAATGGTGTTTCTGAAATCAAGAGGATGTTTTTAAAACGCACCCATATTGGAATATAATGCTTCTTGTTTCTTACTCTTAGTTGGAATGTTTTCATATCTGAAAGATTTTTAAATGTTGTAATTTAACAGCGTTGTTTCATAAATTCCCTAGCAACAACTCAGGTGAACCATGGGTATTTTTTTTTTTTTTTCAGCTAAATCAGTGCCCTTTGTGTATCAAGTATTGCTGCTTAGGTAATTAGCAGTCATACACAGCGTTCCTTCTGTGCTTTAGATATTCTTACTTTTCTTTTACTGGGTCTTTTTTGGAATGACAGTATATTTGCTATATTTCTTGAAAGTCAAAATATCAAATCTAAAACAAGTGATTTTTTTTTTAAGCCTCTGTGCTAATTATTTTTATCATCACTCTTACAATGCTTCCTACTCTTACACAAAATTTGGAACAAAAGCAAAGAATATTTTTCCACTATCAAATCTGTCAGCAGTTCTCTAATGTTGGTTTTGCGCTTCAGCTTATTAGGTAGGTTTGCATACATTTCATAGTCAGAGCTTCATACACCTAGTCGTATATCTACTTCCCCACGGCCACGCTGAACATCTGCCCTTTGAGAGCATTTTAGAGCCAAATGTTTTTAAAACATTACAAAAGTTTGCAAAAGATCAGTATCAAGAATACCAAAAAGGGTTTGTCTACCAATAAAGGCTTACCAGCATTTACCGCTAGCTTTGATAACTATGTGAATATTTTACTCTCATGGATCTAAAAGGGGAAGAAGAAGGGGGGAAAAAAACCCACCAAAACTACTGATTTTTTTTTTTAATAGATTGTAAACGATGGCTGTGTGGATCCAAGCGCAGCAGCTCCAAGGAGATGCTCTTCATCAGATGCAAGCACTGTATGGCCAGCATTTCCCCATTGAGGTGCGGCATTACCTCTCCCAGTGGATTGAAAGCCAAGCCTGGTGAGTGAGTGAAGGTTTTTATACCCTATATCATGAAGCACAAGAACATTGCATTTCGATTGGAAAGATAACATGATAGAGACTTTAAAAGTTGTACGTTTAAAAAAAAAATTACATGGCCCATGAAAAGGTACTTAAGTCCATCTTAGATTTTAGGAAGATGGAATGCCTCTTGAGATTTTAAAAATAGGATTGTGCCCTTTAATAGTAGATTATAGCTCAAAATATTAGCTAATAAAAATTTGTTAATTGCTGCTAAAATGCAATTAACAAATGAGTTTTGAGTGCTTTTAGGCTGTTGGGCAGTGTCATAGGAGGTGGTATCATAGAATGAGAAAATTAATATTCCTTGTTCCTAAAGAATTTCATGCTTCATGGGGCAGATAAGATATGCATTTATTTTAATAAAATGTACTATTAACAAATCTAACAATGGAATAACTGGAGCTTTTAAATTGGTATGTATTACATTCATACACATTGAACGTGTACCAATATACAAGAAAATATTAACAATAGCTATGTCTTGGTGGCAGATTTAAGGAGCATGTGTATTTTTCTTATTTTCCAAATTACTGTTTATTTGCCCAGGGGGGGATTGTTTTTAAGCTATTTTAGAATGAGCACAATGCAGAGGGCTGACAACAGAGCTTTCTAATCAGCAGCGTCCCTGCACGTACAGCAGCAGACTGTCTGCTTCTGTGCCCGTGGCCTGGAACGAGTTGGCTGGTTGCCAGGGTGCCAGCCTGAACCGACACATCTCCGGATGCTCGAGGCCTCCCCGCCGGGGCAGGGTCCTCCTCCAACAGCCGGGAGAAGCCCTGTCTCCACGCCACTGTTTGAGGAAGGCTGTGTACCCCTCAGTAATGTTGCCTTGGAATAATTGCAGTCTTGTGTTAGCAGCAGATTTCTGTCCAGAAACTAGAGAGCGCCAAGGCAAGGCAATTTTCTAGGCAATTAAAAAAGAAAAAGAAAAAAGTCTCAGCCTTATGTAATTAAGTGAGAAAAACGACGCGCTAAATGAGAGCATGTCAGCAGCCTCTCCCCTGGTGCTTTTCCACTTCCTTCTCATTCTCCTTTCTGGGTTAGTGATTTGGAGAGTTCAGAAAAACATGAGTAGGGCGTGTCTGATGATTTAAATTTTCATTTAGGTGTAAGGATGCTGCTGCTTCTTGAATAAACATTAAAAGGCTTGTGTTATTTTGTTGTTGTTTTTTTTTTCACACAAGAAGTTTTAATTTATTGACCCTCTCATGAAAACTCTGCACAGTCGCCACAGTCTTAGCTTCTTTTTGCAGTGCCAACGCTGGTCTCGTAGCCCCTCAGGTCTTCTTCATTCTGTTCTGGGGTTCCTTTGGCAGTTTTCTTGATGTCTTTTTTCCCTCCTCACACAGGCCACGTCTGGCAAGTCTGTTCAGGTTCATTCAGTGGCGAGAAATCATAACTCAGGCCACGGCCAGTTGTCTTGGCCCCTCCAAAATGGGTTCTGTGTCCAGACACAAAGATGACATCTTGGGAGGTCTTGCACATTTTGGCTAGTTTTTTCTGGGCTCTCTGTTAGGTACTCTTGCCTTCCCAGGGTGAAGGCCCCACTGCTTGCCCAAAAGCAGTGGGCTGGTGATGAACTCCCTGGGCCCGAGAGTCTCTACGTCCCTCCTGATGGTGGTGGACCTTCAGGTGGCTAGTGGTGGGGGCTAGGGGAGAGGGAGAGGCTCTCAAGAGTTGTGCTGATGTTAAGGAAAACCTGAATTTTATGTACTTTTTGTTTGCTTAAGAATATAAAGATTTGAATAAAAAGTCTTCAGTTCTGCTGTTTGAACTAAGAAAATTGCTTTTTTAAAACAGAGTTAAGCTTTCAAGTACAAAAGCCATGAGTTTTGCTCAGAGAATGGCTCTCTTCAAGAGCGGGTGTGTTCCTCAGATGAGGAACAGGATTTGCCAGTAGAAACAGGCAAGACTGCCTTCATTCCTCCAGGCTTCCATCTAGTACATGTTTAACTTAATACATAGCGTGTCACATACATATTTAAAACTTGGCCTTCTCGGGATACAGATTTGGGCATATTATTTGATGTTGGATGTTACTGTTATTTTGTGCTTCTGTTTGAAATTAGTCGCTGGCTGGTTTCAGGGGCTTAGGGGTGACAGAGCCTATAGCCACCACAAGATAAGCTTCAGACCTGGTCAGCAGTAACTGAACATTATTCCAACCTGACAGCTGTTTGGTTTCTCCAGTGAGCTAAGCGTTTTAGTACTGCCCAGCAGCAATTATTGCCTACGTTGTTTAAAAAAAGAAAGGAGAGTTGGGGAGGGGGGCAGATAGTGGGAGGCGGAAGGGAGCGAGCAAGAGGGAATAGAAGGAAGCCCATCCAATCCCTGTCACCAGTTGAGTGGCTCTGGGTTAACACTGAGCCCAAGATGGTTCCTCTGGCTCACGGGAAGAGTTAGTGTTGCCTGTGGGTCCCAAAGCTGCAAATAGTGATAAAAATGCATGACTTGTCTAAATACTTGCATCTTCTGTCTTAATATATTATGTCCAGGGCTCCTTAGAACTAGCAGCAAATAGCTTTTCACCTACCTTAAGAAATGCTCTGTGTGAAAGTTAGCAACACACAGCACTTAGTCAGGCTGGAAAACACTCAGAGAACATTCTTGACCTTGTACCCCCTACACCCTTGAGGAGGTCACTATAAATAGGAAATTATCGGAGTCCTTATTTCCTTCAGAGTACACAACGCACTTTTCTGTTCATTCCTAGGAGCAGATAGCGTAGTCAGAAGGAGGAAGGAGATGTTGAAAAGCAGTTTAAAAATATTATAGACTATGTATGTAAAATATGTAACATTTAACATAGGATAGTATATATATATATGTTTATATGGTACAGCTTAAGGGAATTGTGGGTTAGAAATGGATTAACGTATATAGCTGGTTGATTTAAATGGGACCGTTCCCTAAAGTTTGCAGTGGGCGTTATGAAGAATTCACTTTAACCAAAGAAAAGGTGCGATGTGTTGAGGCTGCATTTATACAGGATTGTGTGCATGTATGTATACATATGTATGTAATTTTTTTCCCCTAGGGACTCAATAGATCTTGATAATCCACAGGAGAACATTAAGGCCACCCAGCTCCTGGAGGGCCTGGTGCAAGAGCTGCAGAAGAAGGCGGAGCATCAGGTGGGGGAAGATGGGTTCTTGCTGAAGATCAAGCTGGGGCACTACGCCACGCAGCTGCAGGTGGGTTCGGGCTGGTCACCCTCTTCCCGTCCCTCCGTGGTACCTGGGGGGGGCCTCATCCTTCATCTAGTACTTCTGTTGAGATTTTCTTCTTCGACATTGTCAAGCTCCATGTTACGTGTTTAAGTTCTAATCATTTGGTTTTGTGATTAGTCTTACTTTCTAGCTTTTGATTTGCAAATCATTTCACATTGACACAAAGTAGCAAGAATGATACAAAGACCCTCTACAGATGCCCAGACTCAACTGTGGCTCACATTTGCTTTATCAGATGCTCTCTCTAAACACACACACACACACACACACACACACACACACACACACACACACACACACACGTTTTCTTATCCCTTGAGAATATGCAGTGTATATCATGTTCCTTTTCTCCTATTTAGTGTGCATTTTCTACCTTCCCTTGTGTAGTTATAACACAGTGTCAACTTCAGTAAATTTAATGTTGATGCAATACTTTTAAGTTATCTTATATCTTACAGTGTTTCCATTTTGTTAGCTGACTTAATAATGTCCCTGGAGGCATTTTTTCCCCCTTCAGCCCAGGATCCAGCTCAGGTTCACACACTCTGCAGGTCTCCCTTAGCATGGAATCATTTCTTGACCTTTCTGTGTCTCTAAATTACACTGACAATTTAAAATACCTTAACATCTCAATATTTTTAAAGGTAAAATGCGCCTCATTTTGGGTTTCCTCATGAATAGACTCAGGGTAGACATCAGTGATGGGTTCTCAAGAAGTGCTGTTGTGTCCTTCTCACAGCCTCCCATCCAGAGACACAGACAGCATCTCATCCTTGCTGGGGTAGTCATCATGCTGGCCAGTCAAGGGTGTCCAGCTTCCCTTGTGATGTGGTCGTTAGAAATTTATTTATCCTGTTTTTAAGTCTGATATCTTAGTACTTTAGGCAAGTTAAGATGCAAGAAACAAAATCATTTTACCTTCTGACTGTTATTGGGATTCCTTTTATGCGCTTTTCCTGGCTACACCACCATCTCCAGGGGTCTCCTCCGCCAAAAGATCTTGCCCCCTGTTCTGAGGTAGGGTTGGGTTCCCTAGCATGGAGTGAAACAAAGTGAACGCTGCTGTTGGATTCTTCCAGAACACCTATGACCGCTGTCCCATGGAGCTGGTCCGCTGCATCCGCCACATCCTGTACAACGAACAGAGGCTCGTCCGAGAAGCCAACAACGTGAGTGTCTGTGGGTCTGGGCGGCGGGCTTGGGAAGGCCTTTTTGCACCTCTCTCTGAGCCCAGCTTTGTCGAGGCGGCTCAGGGTATGTCTACTGGTGTCTCTATAAATACAGCATGGTCCTGAGGGGCACAGAAGAAACTGAAGACTGTGGCCTGTGGTCTTCACTGATTTATAGCCTTGATGAAATACACACACAAATCAGTGCAAAATAATTTAACTCCAACTGAATAATTGTTGAATAAGAAAAGGCATGCTTATATTCATGTAAGATTACATAGGAAAGAATTAGGAAAACTTGCCTTTCGTTTCCACCAGGTGTTGAAGGAATGGGCCCGCCAAGTCCCTTGCATGGCTGGATCCACAAAGGCCTGTTGGTGCCTCCCCTGTGACTTTATTCTGGCGTCTCCAGACACTGCCTCTGAGAGCTTCACCTTCTCCCCCCAGTCACAAGAAAGTCTTGAGGGTGGACACAGACAGTGTGTTTCCATTGTTCCCCCATGGTGTCCCAGCTTCTGGCACAGTCTGTGGCCTTGGGTCAGTGCATGTGAAGTGTGGGGTCATCATCATTGGCAGGAAACCCAGGTAACTCAGGCACATGTTGAGTTCTGGTTTCTCCAGAGAGGACATATGCGGGTCTGTTTGGGGTCCTTTGATGGAGGCCGGAGTGTGTGCTGTGCTCTGTGAAGACGCCATAGTCTGCCAGCTCACCTGTCTGCTTTCCCCCAGTTCTTACAAATGGTGTTTGCAATTCCGCTGACTCAAAATTCAGTTACAGGTTCTGGCATTGGCTTTTCCTTGGGACCAGGCCCATGGGGTTCTCCACCCTCCCGGCCAGCTCACGGTGTCTGCTCTCTCCCCCACTGTGTCCAGGGTACCGCTCCAGCTGGCAGTCTCGTGGACGCCATGTCCCAGAAACACCTTCAGATCAACCAGACATTCGAGGAGCTGCGACTGGTCACGCAGGACACAGAGAATGAGCTGAAGAAGCTGCAGCAGACTCAAGAGTACTTCATCATCCAGTACCAAGAGAGCCTGAGGATCCAGGGTGAGGCTGCTGCGGCAGGACAGTGTGTCTTGAGGATGGAGCAAGGACTAGAAGGAAGCTCAGATTGGATTGAAGGAGAACCAGTCTTCACTCAGAGGCATTTACTTTTCTCTGGATGGAATCATTTGCATTGAAGGCAGTGCTGGGAGGATGAAGCTTAGAAAGGCGAGAAGACAAGCAGTTGCCCTTGGAGAGTGCGAGGTCTTGCTCAGACTTCCCACACCCAGGGAGCTCCTGGTGGGAAGGAGCACACAGTCTGAGTAAACAGTACCCAGCAATACTATTGTGTAGAGGAGGCATTTTATAAATGTTGTTTCACTGAAATGCTAAACTTCCTAAGCAGGGACAATACAAGGGCCAAGGGACTGTGTGTGGTGATGAGCTTTTAATGTTCTGTAGTGTTACTCAGAGATGCCTCCTGGGCCAAAGCACATGGCGCACTTTCCCTCTTAAAGTCCTTATAGACAAAGACTCTCCTTCCAGTTGTGAGTGGCTTCATACTTGGCTACAGAGAACTTCAGTCTGGAGGCCATGGAGCCCCACCAGCGCCCCCTATTGGACTTGTAGGCATTTGGCGTGCAAGTAGAGCTCTCTTCCCTGCTTGCATGCCCAGCTCAGAATCCTAGAGAAACCTTTGCTCCAGCAACCAGGACACAGACACAGAGCTCCTCCAGACCATGCACATGGGCTTGATTACATAACTGCATTGATACTGACTCTGTCTGCACATTAGAATAGAAAGTATTTGAGGGGGAACTGTATCTTTTATCTCTGTACCCTGAGACTACCACATTGCTTAAATCCATAGTAGGCTCTGAGTAATTTAGGGAGGGTGATCCTACCCTGTCTTCCTTCCTAGACTTATCCCAGAGAAGGCTGGCCTCTTCCTAGATTAGGAGAAGGAGATTTCAGGCTATTATTTCTATCCTGGGTGTTTCACTGGTTGACGATATTGATCTTACTCTTGGGTTTTCTGTTTCCTAGGTATGGATTTGGGTTTATAGCTATTGTGCAATGTCAGTTCAGTCTCAGTTATCAAGTTCACCCATCAGAAACACAGACTATTGATCTGTTTGTACAAGGGAAGGTTCAGCTCCCTCCAATGGAGCAGACAATTGCCTCATGTCTCTTGGCTTCCTTCCCAGAAGTTTATGCAAATTGCCAGGAGAACCTGAGTGGGTCACTTGCATGGAGAGATGGGGTCCAGGTGTTGGGATTACCACCAACTCCGTGTGAGTGGAAGGGTCCCGAAGGCCACCCAGCCCACCCTACTATGTTCTGTGCCAGAGAGTCCTTTTCCTGCTCAGTCCCCTCAGTGACAGTCGAGGCATCTCTCTCAGCCTCTTCCAGTTCTTGGCTTTTCCTGGGAAGAGCTAGAGTTGCTTTCATCTGTCCCAGCATGTGCGTCCCCTGGGCAGGGTCTGGGTCAGTGTGACATGGACCTCAGAGGCCTGCCAGGCTATGCTGACACTCACAGCCTCTTGACTCAGTCCCAGTGATGACTGTGGGGTTCAGAAAGGTGACTTTGGAAAGAAGAATGGGTTTGCGAGCAGGGGAGGGTATGTAGGTGGCTTCAACTGTGGCGATGTGGCTCCAAGCCCGACCCCCATGTGGTGTGAGAAGAGCTGGGCAGCCAGCTGTGTGTTTGGTTGGGGGGAGGCCATGGGCAGGATCCTTCTCAGCTGTGCCCACAAGCTGCCATCTCCCCACTCCCTGGAGGGGAACTCAGGGTCAGGAGGCCAGCAGCAGAGCCCACTCGTCTCTGCACCCTCAGTCCATAGTCTCCTGACCTGCTGTCGGCCAGAGGTATCCCTTGAGGGTCTTGCCTCCAGAAAGATGAGTGCGGCTCTGCTGGGCTTCCAGCTGATAATCATCATAGGTGTCCTGTCCCCCCCTCTAGCTCAGTTTAGCCAGCTGAACCAGCTGAATCCCCAGGAGCGTATGAGCCGGGAGACGGCCCTCCAGCAGAAGCAGGTGTCCCTGGAGGCCTGGCTCCAGCGCGAGGCCCAGACGCTGCAGCAGTACCGTGTGGTAAGTGGGAGCTGTGTCCTGCTGCAGGTGTGGAGGTCACATCCTGAGCTGTCTGGGGGCCTGAGAGAGGGTGGAGCCCTCTGTGGGGGCTTGTGGTTGCACAGCAGGTCGGGAGGGGGCAGCCTGGGCCTGGGGCTTGGGCCTGGCCCTGGCTCCTGAGGGAGACCTGCAGGCTTGTCGCCTGGGAGTCAACAGGGCCTGCTCCCCTGCCTCCCTGCAGGAGCTGGCCGAGAAGCACCAGAAGACCCTGCAGCTGCTGCGGAAGCAGCAGACCATCATTCTGGACGATGAGCTGATCCAGTGGAAGCGGCGGCAGCAGCTGGCCGGGAACGGAGGGCCCCCTGAGGGTAGCCTGGATGTGCTGCAGTCCTGGTAAGGGGCATGGGGTTGAGGGGCAGGATGGGGGTGGCAAGGGCAGGCAGGCACTCAGGGGCTGCTTCCAGCTGCTGACGCTGCTTCCCACTGGCTCCCTCTGACCTGACAGTTTCATCCCAGCAGGGGTGCTGCTTCCCGCGATGGACTTTGGTGTCCACATCCCATGCCACCTCCCCGGGATCAGCGTCCCTGCTGGTGAATGGGGCAGGGCCCAGGCTATTTGGTGCCAATCAAGGTCACTCCTCCCGTGTATTTCCCTGCTTCTGGAAGGCGGGGAGCTGTCTCTGCTCAGTGGCTAGGAGAGGCAGCTAAGGCTCCCAGCCTTCCCGGGTAGGGGTACGGCTGGGTCTCGGGGGTTCTCTTCAGACCGGGAACCTCCCAGACTGCGGCCTGGGGCCTGGACAGAAGGAGCCAGTGACCTTCCCGTTGGCCCTGGGGGTCCCCGTGCAGGTGTGAGAAGTTGGCCGAGATCATCTGGCAGAACCGGCAGCAGATCCGCAGAGCTGAGCACCTCTGCCAGCAGCTGCCCATCCCCGGCCCAGTGGAGGAGATGCTGGCGGAGGTCAACGCCACCATCACGGACATCATCTCAGCCCTGGTGACCAGGTGATGGCTGCTTCTGGCCTGCGCCCCTCAGGGGAGGGCAGCCCCATGTGGGCGGTGTTGGGAGGGCGGGGGCAGCAGATGGGAGCCCAGAGTTGTGCTGGAAGCCTTGTCTCTGCTTCACGTCCTCATGGCCTCCGGCACCGCTGCTCCGGCTGCTTCTTGTGGTCCTTGTTCCCTGCAGCCCAGGCCGGCTGCTGAGCTCACTCCCTGCCCACCCACCCTCACTGCCTCCTTCTCCAGCTGAGCCCCATGGTGGGGGCCGGGAGGCCAGTCCCTGAGCACATCCCGTGTCCCCACAGCACGTTCATCATCGAGAAGCAGCCCCCTCAGGTCCTGAAGACCCAGACCAAGTTTGCGGCCACCGTGCGCCTGCTGGTGGGGGGGAAGCTGAACGTGCACATGAACCCGCCCCAGGTGAAGGCCACCATCATCAGCGAGCAGCAGGCCAAGTCGCTGCTCAAGAACGAGAACACTCGCAAGTACGTGTGCCCCCTGCTGCGGCTGCCCGTGCCAGGGTGGGGCACCTGGTGCCGTCACAGCCTAACCTGTGGCTGGGGACAGCACGGCCTCTCCACGGCCACTTCCTCCAGTCCTTTCACTGGCAGTATGTGATCCCCTCTGAAGCATGAGGCGTTGGCTCTCCTGACCTGTTCAGCACTCAGAGCAGGAATACTAGCAGGAATACTGTTTCGTACAGATGGGGAGGCTGCTTTTACTTTTAGTCTAGCTGCATCCAAGAAATCATCTTGTATATTTTATGTGTATTTATTTCATATTTTTTACAGCTTGTATATTCCCTAGATGACATGTTTTTAACTCTTTATTTCCTCCTACGTGAAACTTATGACCTACCCATGTGAACTGAGATTCTCTGTGGCTTGAGAGCTGAGTTGTCTGATTTGCAGTGACTACAGCGGGGAGATCCTGAACAACTGCTGTGTGATGGAGTACCACCAGGCCACGGGCACGCTCAGCGCCCACTTCAGGAACATGGTGAGGGGGAGAAGGGAAGCACACGCTTTCCCCAGTTGCTTGAGGGCCTCCTCATCTTCCCTTTCCCCTTTGTAGTCCCTGAAGCGAATTAAGAGGTCTGATCGTCGTGGAGCAGAGTCAGTGACAGAAGAGAAATTTACAATCCTGTTTGAATCACAGTTCAGTGTTGGAGGAAATGAGTTGGTTTTTCAAGTTAAGGTAAAGCCTCCCCTTACCTCTGTGTGTGTGTGTGCGCGCGCACGCGTGTGCATGTGTTTACTTTGTCGCAAAAGAAGTTTTTGAACATTTTTTGTTATTGATGAATGGAATGTGGGGAGACCTCATCCTCAAACTGTATCTCTTAGATTCTCTTGAGACACAAGCAAGAAATAACAAACTGAAGTAACTGGAGATACAGGTGGAAAGTGAATCAGGAGAAACGTCACTCAGGATGACTCTGAGTGACAGTGGTGGCTTTAGACATTTGCTACTTACTAATTTTTGCCAGGAATGTTTTCCATATGCTCTCCTCCCTCCTGATAAAGTTCTCTGTGTAACTTTGAGAGACTTATCCATACTTCTGAGACATCTAGTCACACCTCATAAAATATCTAAAATTTCTAAGATTGTGTTAGTGTGAAGTCACATCCTTCCTGGAGCCATGCAGATTCTCTGTTCAGGGGTGACATTTACTGACTCTTAAGGAGAAGAAGAACGTGTGGGGGTGGGAGGAAGGGGAGACGGGACAAACGTGCGGCTGTGAGCCTCAGCCCGCCCCGTGTTTTCCAGACCCTGTCCCTCCCGGTGGTGGTGATCGTTCACGGCAGCCAGGACAACAACGCGACAGCCACTGTCCTCTGGGACAACGCTTTCGCGGAGCCTGTGAGTGAATTCCTGGGGCCTGAGGGTCTCAAGATCTTGATGCTGGTGTCATTAATCTCATGTGTCACCCTCCTCCCCCAAAATACAAGGAAAAATGCTGTTTTCTTGTTGGGAGGCAGAATAGAGAGCATGTGGAAGTGGAAAGAACGTAGGCTTGACTTCAGGCCAAGCATATTCGAATTCAAGCTCCACCAAGTGGGGATTCACTTTACCTCTCTGGGCTGAAGTGCCCAGTAAGTGCCTGCAAAACAGGGACAGTAATGTTCCGTAGCACTGTTCGGGTGGTTAAATTAGGTAACAGACAAAATGCTCATCACCTAGTCGATACTTGCTGTCATTTGGAATACTGGTGAAACCATGAGTGGAATTTTGTATTCTCAGGTTCCTTGTAGCTGTGGGGTTTCTCAGGAGGTCCCTGTAGCTTAGAAATTGATTCCTGTCATCTTCCAATAAACGGTTTTTATTGAGAGTGGTTTTTAATGTCTTCCAAGTTCTAGATTCTGTGGTTCCAGGTTTCTCAGGAGGAATGAGAGGCTTTGTTTAAGGGAACAAATGTGAGTTTTGCAGATTTAGGTACCCAGATGCTCTCTGAATACCACTAGCGTGCTGCTTAGGGAGCAGCTTCACAGCCTCCAGCAGGCAAAATTCTGTGTGTTGCATATTTCCAGTAGACGTTAGTCCATAAAAACATGACCAAGGGTTATAGCTGTTACCTGGGACACAGGAATCTGACTTTCTCTAACTATGACTCTCATGTGATTTAGCATTCCCAACGGTCCTCTTCAGAGAACAATATTCATAGTAGAGAGGTGTGATTTCTACCATGGCAGAAGCTCTACCATGCTTGTACTACAAACCCTGGTCCTTTTAAACAATATCTGCCTCCGTCTGTTCTGCTGAGTCTTCTGGGTAGGAAGCCTTCTCTGTCTGACATGTCCACTGACCTCCGTCCCCTCACACCACCCGTAACACGTTGTTGCTGAAGTATGTTGTCTAAGTGAATAAGCATTTTAAACATTTTTCTGTTACGTTAGTGACTAGTGCACATCTTAGGTTGTTTTGAAATAAATACATGTGTGAATTTACAAGATATTTTTGCGTATGCATCATCAATGACATAACTCCGTTGCAACATCATTTAAAATGGCTGAAGATTTGAGATCCATATGTGCATGTCCATCTCTGGGGGTCTGGTTAGATATGGTATTGTTCTTCCATGCTGTAGAATATTTAAAGGGCATAAAAGAAAACGAGGAACTTCTTTAAGTGTTAGTTAATATGAGTTCTCCCAGCGACCATATCAAGTGAAAAAAAAGATGCAGAACCTGTGAATTTAATGCTACCATTTATATATTTTGAAATGAAAGATTATACATGTACATATATATCTGCTAGTATGTATGTATAGCATATCTTTGGAGCTATACACCAAAAAGTAGCTTACATGCTTTTGAGGGAGAGGAACAGAGGGGGCTAATGACTTTACTGTGTAGCCTCCTATGGTTTTTAAATTTTTTATCATGCAAATGAATTTCCTATTCAAAAAATTAAAGCTAAGTACTACGGCTGAATGGGATGAAAAGCAGTTTATTAAAAATTCATATTCAGACCTGTCTCAATGAACTCACCTCACTCCCAGCTCCACTCTCCCTTACTAGCTTGTCTCACTTTGAGCCAGAGGTCTGTACAGGAGGGTGTCAGAGGCAAGGGTCACACTTGTGCACACACGTGTCTGAGTACGTGTTCCGTGTGTGCATGCACCTGAAGTATTTTGGATCCTAAATTCCCATTGAATTTACAGTGTTAAATAAGAGCCGATCCCGGTCCAGCTTTGTTCTCATGGCGACTGGATTAGACTGAGCATTGCGCTGCTCATTGACAAAACAGGAGGTGATAGCAGGAGGTGACCTGAGTTGTGTGTGAAGATGGTAAAATGGAATCTTCCGAATGCCACAAAACCGCACCCCCCTTGAAAACCCAGACTTATCCTCAGGCCTGACAAAAACGAAGGTCGCAAGCTACTTCCAGCCTTTGGTGTTTGTCTCCTGCGGGTTGAGGGCATAAATCACGCCACTGTTTCCTCATAGTGCTCTGGCCTCTCTCCCCCAGGGCCGGGTGCCATTCGCCGTGCCTGACAAAGTGCTGTGGCCGCAGCTGTGTGACGCGCTCAACATGAAATTCAAGGCCGAAGTGCAGAGCAACCGGGGCCTGACCAAGGAGAACCTCGTGTTCCTGGCACAGAAGCTCTTCAACAGCAGCAGCAGCCACCTCGAGGACTACAGCAGCATGTCGGTGTCCTGGTCCCAGTTTAACAGGGTGAGCGCCCAGCCGTTCCAGCCGCCATCCCTCAGTCACTCCCAGCCAGACGCTTCAGGAGTCTCCCTGCCCCGGCCCCTGTCTTCATGCCCCTAATAAAACGTGCCCAAAGTAATAGGAAACCTCCAAGTAAAGGGACAACCAAATTCTTTCTGGGTAGGGAATCACATGTCTGGCTGTGTCAGTAGGTTGGGTGAGTGTATGGCTCCCGCCCCTGTTGTGTGAAGCCGAGCTCAGCAGACACTGATGTGTCTCCTCATGAGGAGTCAGACTTTGTGGTGCCTGGAGTCCCCAGCTCTGTCCTGCTGACTCTTGTTCCCTGTGCGTAACGAAAAGCCCCAGGCCCCTCAGCCCACACAAGGGGCTGCCGGTGAGGAACGCAGTTTCACCAGCATCTGTTTATTCACCTGTCAGGTCTTTGATTTTAAATTTAACTTTCATTTCTTTTTTTTTTTTTTTTAATTTTTTATTTTATTTATTTATTTATACAAGCACTGGGTACAGTCAGAAGCGCGGGAGGGTGAGAGAATTCACCAGAGCCAGAGCGGGGAGCAAAGCAGGCAGAAGGACCGAAGTACACTGCTGAGGGGAGCAGCGGGCGGCAGAAGAGGTCTGCGCGCCATGTGGGACCCTCCCTCAGGTGGCCGGGGAGCAGCCAGGGATCAAACCGGCGCTGCAGAGGCTGCAGGCAGCTTCACAGCCCAGCGCTCAACCGCTGCGCCACCAGGGGAGGCCCTAACTTTCATTTCTTTTCTGCCTCTTTTCTTTAAACGCTCTAATTGAGAGACCTCTGAGTCCACATCTTTTAAATCATTGTGTTAACCAGTTGGCCAGCAGGTTTGCTGGTTGTCAGAGGAGGTTCAATAAGGTGAAACAACGTCTCCACGAGCAGTGGCTGCTGCCCACCCTGGAATCAGCTCGATGCTTGCTGCTGCTGGTCCCCAGCTAGCAGCTGGCAGTGGAGTAATCCTTGGGGCACCATGGAGTCGTCCAGTCCAGGTCACACTCACAGAGGACCTGGGCATCTCGCTAGGATGCAGGCACTGCTTCACCTGCATTTCTCAGAACTTGCTGCTGCTGCTGCTGGTCACTGACCACACATTGGAAATAGCAAAGTCCTGGTCATCCAGATCCCAGGGAACTTGTTTGTGGCAGGGTCCACTGGGTGATGGTCACTGCACTTGGTTGGGTTTCTCCTCCTTCCAGACTTCTTTCTGGAAGTATTCTTTATCCTAACTAACATAAGGGTTTTGGTTGTAGGACTGTTTGGCAAAGCAGACAGGCATGCTTATTTGTTTGACCCTGCTAGTGCAGATGTTTTTTTTCCCCACCCAGTTTTTCCCAGTTAAAGTATATTCAGGTAATATTCCACATGACATCCTTGCCTCCCTGTGTTCATTGTTATGTCTCCAACCAGGAGAATTTACCAGGACGGAATTACACTTTCTGGCAGTGGTTTGACGGTGTGATGGAAGTGTTAAAAAAGCATCTCAAGCCTCATTGGAATGATGGGTGAGATTCATCATTTCTTAGTTAGCAATAGAGTTTGAATATCTTTCTGGCATTAAAACATCACACTGTGCTTCTGCTCCTTTCACTTTGTGATCCAGAGCTATCTTGGGTTTCGTGAACAAGCAACAGGCCCATGACCTGCTCATTAACAAGCCCGATGGGACCTTCCTGCTGAGATTCAGTGACTCTGAAATTGGGGGCATCACCATTGCTTGGAAGTTTGATTCTCGTGAGTACCCTCCCTTTTTAAGACTCGCACTAACTGCTTTTGTTGCAAATTGCTGTCACAATTTATTGCATATTTATATTTGTTGGGGCCTGTAATGAGTATGGGAAGCACAGACGTGTTACATGTTACACAGCAGGATGTGTAAAATCTTATTATGAGAAACACGGTTCTTGATTTTGAGAAAGACAAACCCTGACGTGACTCCCAGTAATACAGTCTCCAGTGCAAAATCTCTGCAGCTGGGGCCTTCCTGGTGGTGCAGGGGGTTAAGTCTCAGCACTATCCACAGCCACTGCAGCATGAGTTCAATCCCGGCCAGGGAGGTGGCCCACATGGCACAGCAGACCTCTCCTGTCTCGCCTGCTGCTCCCCTCAGCAGTGTATTTCAGTGGATCTTCCTGTGCTGCTCCCCACTCTGTCTCTGGTGAATCCTCTCACCCCTCCCCACACCTCTGGCCTACACCCCAATTCTTATATGCATAAAGTTTAAAAAACAAAAATTTCTGCAGCTTCCCTTTGAAATGTTTGCATTCTCACTACTCAACCTTGTGCTTATTTCTGTGAAGAACTGCTTAAATGATCGGGAGTCATGAAAGTAGAAATAACATGCCACTTGAAGTATTCTTTATCCTGACTAACATAAGTGTTTTGCCACTGATCATCCCCACCCTAGAATGTCAGTTCTTTTCTCTGGTCTGCACAATAAGAGTAGCTTGCTAGGTTTTTTTTTTTTTTTTATTGTTGTTTTTGTGACTTAAAGATTTTAATTGCTTTTGGTAGCTCTCGCATGTCCTCTGGCCATGGACATGGTTCCTAGTTCTCCTGTGTTTTTGTACAGGGAATCAAGAATTAGGGTCTATAGGAACTGTTTCTTCTTCACAGAATACTTTTTGATCCTAAAATTACCTGAGCTCACTGCATCCCCAAGGAAGTGGTGTGTGTGTGGCCTGCTTATCTTCCCAGGACTTTTAAGAGTTACTTGATCTACAACCTGTGCTTATTTAAACGATCATTATTGGGATAATTTTAATGGAGAGTTTTGCTGTGTTAGGTATTTGAGTGTTAGCGTTTCCCATTAAGAAATAATGTTTAGAGTATGATTGTTCTGTTTATTCACCTAGAGGAAAGAATGTTTTGGAATCTGATGCCTTTTACCACCAGAGACTTCTCTATCCGGTCCTTGGCTGACCGCCTGGGTGACCTGAATTACCTTATCTATGTGTTTCCTGATCGGCCGAAGGATGAGGTGTACTCCAAATATTACACGCCGGTCCCCTGCGAGCCTGCCACTGGTAACAATGTTCGCATTTTGATTTGGTTTGGTTATGTTGTGATTTTTGTGTCGTTTTAGTTGTGTGTCTGTGTGTGTGTCTGTCTTAAAAGAACCTGCACAATTAGTATCTAGTTATTGCTGTTTGATCATTTTCCAGGGCACATGTAAAGGTGGGGCTGTGTTCTTCAGGCACATAGGAAATGCACCTGCTAGCCCCAAGCATCAAATTGAAGGGAACAAAGTGTTTTTAATACATACTTAGGATAAATAAAGTTGGAAAGGTGAAACTTTTTTTTTTTAAACAGAGGCAGTTCGTTCTTTTTTGAACATAAAAGTATTATCTGTTGTAAAATTTCCAGAAAAGTAAAAGATATATGCAATGTCTCTCATCTAGAGATTTACCACTATAAAAAATTTGGTCACTGTTCTCCCAATCTATATAGGTATGAATTCGCCATTGATTCAGGAAGTCTGTCTCCAGATGCTTATTAAGTACTTCTGGGGGGGGGGAGGGGTTACAATTTAGTAGCAGAAGGAAGACAATAAGTAAACCAAAAAGTGTGTTTAGTGACAGCTACTATGAAGACAGATAAGCGAGATAAAGGGATAGAGAGTGACAGGGGAGAGGATGGTGGTGACATTGCCATGGGGGGTCAGGGAAGATTATTCCAAAGAGGTGAGAGCAGAATAGGCCTGAGCTAAGAAAGGAGGCTAGCCACATGAGGGTCCAGAGAGAGGACATTGTAGGCCTAGAGGACAAGTGCAGAAGCACTGGGTGGAGGTGAGGCTGGTGTGTTTGCAGAGTCCACCAGAGCCCGGGATGTCCCAGCTGGTGGGCAGGGAAGGACACCGCAAGAAATGAGGGCAGGGCCACAGAGGGGCCGGCGGGCCCACACATGCCAGTCTGGAGTCCAAGGTGATAGCATGCGTTGTCTTCTGTGACCTGACTGTTTTTTCACTTAAAAATATATCATTGGGGCCTCCCTGGTGGTGCAAGGGGTTAAGACACAATCTATGAAGCTGTCCGCAGCCACTGTGGCACGAGTTCCATCCCCGGCCAGGGAGCTACCCACATGGTGCAGCAGACCTCTCCTGACTCACCCGCTGCTCCCCTCAGCAGTGTATTTCAGTTAATCTGCCTGTTCTGTTCCCCTCTGTCTCTGGTGCATCCTCTCACCCCCCACATCTCAGGCTTGTATTCCCGTTCTTGTATGCATAAATAAATCTTTAAAAAAAATATATCATTGGCAGAGTTAAAGGCCAGTAAATATAATCGTACATCACTTTAGTGATGGCATAGAATTCCATGGCATGTGACTCCATGCCAAGATACTTACAGTTTACTATTGATATGGAGATCATCTAATATATGCATCTAGTTCAACTATTTCCTGAGGATAAGTTCCTAAAGTAGAATTTGTGCCAAGTGGCATGCGCTCTCTAAGCAGTTTGACACCTCTTTTCAGACCAGGCCCCCCAGAATACGGAATCCCCTTCCCTCCCACAGGGGGTGTTTGCATCTCCATCCTCCAGCCAGTCCTGTCTGTTTCATGCTTGCCAGTCTATCGGCTTCAAAACGGTATCTTAGTTCTTATTTTCCTACAATGACAGTAATAATTAGAATAATAATAGCAGCTAACAATTATTACTTACTATGTGCCAGATGCTTTCTGAGCAGCTTCACGTAGTATCTTATTTAAGCCTGAAAACAGGTCTGTGAAGTAGCTGCTGCGTTGCTCCCATTTTATATATGTGAGGAACTAAGGTACAGAAAAGTAAAATATTTTGCCAAAGGCCTCATAGTCAAGAAGTGGCTGAGTGAGGCTCTGAGCTCACACGCTGCAACTCCAGAGCCTCATTTCTTTACCACCACACTCGTGGCCGCTTGGCCTTTCTTCTGTGAAGTGTGTGCGTGTTCCTTGCTCACTTTTCTCTTGGAGATCTTTTTTCCGCTAATGATGTCTAAGTATTCCCAGATAGTAAATAACCACCTTCTTGTAAGGAGCAAATATTTTTCACAGTGTATCATTGTTCTTTTAACATTTGTTGTGTTTTGCTGAAGTACGAAGACTGTAATTTCTTTATACCCCAATCTGCCATTCTTTTTCCTATATAAATTCTGCCTTTTGTATCAAGTCTTCCTGCCCTAAGATAATGTTTATGTCTCTATGTGGAGAAATAAACCAAAATAGTCTTAGATTTATGTGGTGTTTTGGATTATCCTTAACACTTTTTTTTTCCTCAGTGCAGCTAATCTGGATTTTTGCCATCTATTTTTTACAGCATTTCTTGGGTATTTAGTCTGCCAAGCTATAAAAATTCTTTGTAGACCATAAAGCACAAAACCCATGAGATGCTATAAAATGATAGACCCTGACATTTGGAAACCTAGAAGAAGCAAGTTAGGACCACAAGAAATTTGCGAGCGGTATAGCATTGCCCCGTCCTGGGCTGTTTCCTGGGTTGTTCCTGGGCACTCATCCTAGCCTCCTTAGTGGGCTCGTGGTCTAACCGAGTAAAGATGGCACCTGTTCCGCCCACACGTGCCCCCAAACTGCTTCCACTCCCTGCCTGTAGAATGTCCATACCTGCTGCCTACTTTAGGAAAGGTAACACGGCTGACCAGATCGCCTTGGAGTTTATCCCCTAACCCCCCATGTCCCGGTGGGGATTCCGTGGCGAAAGAGAGACTCAGCACCAGCATTCTTGTCACCAGGCACGGGGAGCAGGCAGCTCTCCCAGGATGAGTGACCATCCCAAACGCAGAGACCCCAGGGCACGAGAGTCCACAGGGTCCTGGAGGAGTGACACACCCTTTCCTCAAAGTAGAAACTCAGAGAGTAGCTTCAAAGATTATCAAGTCAAATGCATTCTTCGCAAATGCTGAGAATATTTTGTGCAGCCCCTGACAAGCGTTTGTAAACTTTCTGCCTGAAATCCTCCAGTGAGAAGGGAATCACTTCTCTTCAAGACAGCCCATTTCTTTTTTGAACAGTTGTAATTCTTCCTCATAGAACTAAAAATGGATTTTCCTGTGGCCTGTTGTTCCGAATTTTGTCCACTGAGCCCAAATCCTGTCCCTCCCGCCCCTTCATCTTTAAACTTTTTAAGACTATTTTTTCTTTACTTAGTATGCATTAAAGCTTGAATCAGAGCGGTGTGTTTCTGTGATTTGAAGATTTGATTAACAGATACCAGCCAACTTGGAAGATATCTTAGCTTGCAGATTTAGCCCTGAGGCGTTTCCTCTGCCAGCTCAAACTAATAGATGCAGATAGTACTCCCCTCATCCCCTGAGGTAAAATTAGGGGCTTGTGTTGTATCCTAAGGAAAGTTGTGATTCTTAAGAGAGATTGCATTTTTATTTCATTTGAGAACTTTGGTTCTCATCACCTTTCTCCTCGGCAGCTAAAGCAGTGGACGGGTACGTGAAGCCGCAGATCAAGCAAGTGGTCCCTGAGTAAGTGTCCGGGTCCAGCTCTGGGCCTGACCTGCCCCCATAACTCCCCCCATGGGCCCACAAGAACGCATCCCCTCCCCCCAAACCTGCCTCAGCCCCAGGGCAGGAGCTGGGCTTGATCACAATGAGGCTGGCACCCAGGACCCCTCTCCTGCAGCCGGAACCCCTGGTCCAGTGGGGCACTCAGTCCTCCTACACCCTGAAGAGACACAGAGACCCCCCTGAGCCCTCCCCAGGGGAGCTGCCGCCCCAGGCCGCTGAGGCCCTGCTCTGCCTCCTCCTGCAGGTTTGTAAATGCCTCTGCAGACTCTGCGGGGGGCAGCGCCACCTACATGGACCAGGCCCCCTCCCCAGCCGTGTGCAACCAGGCTCACTTTAACATGTACCCACAAAAGTAGGTGTTCTCCTGGGGCTCTTTGGGGAGGAGTTGGGGGTTTGTCCTCAGGCTGGAACCCAGGGGGTGGATGGGCAAAGGAATCCAGAGGTCCTTTGGGTCAGAGACCACCCGGCCACGGTCCAGGCTCTGACACATGCACAGATGGGAAGGAGAGATCAGACCAGAGGACACTGGTAGCTTAGCATGGAGCTGGGCGACTGTCATCTGCTCGCGTCTCCCATAAAGGAGATTCTTCTTGCTCTGCGTGAGGACTGGATGGGGTTTGGATGTGTCTGGACATCCCGTGTGAGGGACAGCTGGGAGGGGTGTCTTAGTCTGAGTCTCTCTCAAGCTAGCTCCCTGAGTTCACATCAGAAGTGGGTCCTTTCCTCTGAAGCCTAGGCTGAGGGTATAGGCTGACCTGGCCATTCACTTAATGGGGTGCAGTGCTTGGGGTGGTCTCTGCTGTTAGTCGTTGATCTCTGACCCCCTCTCTCTTGCCCCCTCATCCCTTCTCTTTCCCTCCCAAGCCCTGACCCTGTCCTTGACACCGATGGGGACTTTGATCTGGATGACACAATGGACGTGGCGCGGCGTGTGGAGGAACTGTTAGGCCGACCAATGGACAGTCAGTGGATCCCCCATGCGCAGTCGTGACCCCCAGGCTCCATCTTCAGCTTCTTCATCCGCGTCAGAGGAGTTACTCTTGTGGATGTTTCAATTCCATGAATCGCTTCTCTTTGGAAACAATACTCATAATGTGAAGTGTTGATACTAGTTGTGACTTTAGTGTTTCTGTGCATGGTGGCACCAGTGAAGGGAATGTGCGAGAGTGAGTGTGCGTGCGTGCGTGTGCGTGTGTTTGCATGTTGTTTCTCTCCCCCTCGCTGTCCAGAGTGTAGCTGTAGCGGTGGGGCCACAGAGGCTGTGGTTTGGTTGTTTTAACGTTGTACACAAAGATTGTTCCTTGAACCCTGGAACTCGGCCATGTGTCTTGAGGGAGGCTGAACTTTGACGTGTGGCCGTTCAAGTGAGAGAAAGACAAGGGGGGAGAGCACCTCCTCTCTGGGGAGCCTTTGTCACTGTGTCTGCCAAGCCGTTGATGTGTAACCGTGATTATCTCCGCCTTTCTTCTCAAGTATAGAAACTGCCTTTTGACAAAGAAAGCCAGCCCTCCCGCCTCCCCTCCCCCCTGCCCCCGTTTTCCCGGGAAGAGACGGGAAAGGGGAGACATTCCACGAGAGCGTGGGAGCAAGAGGGGTCTTAGGTGGCTTTCTAAATAACACCCATCTTAATGTTCTCTCCCCCCACTCTGGAATTGCCACTGTGTGCCTGTGCGTGTGCACATGTACAGACGCGTCTCACGAGCTACAGGAAGGAACCGAGGGTCACGTAACCGAAGCGTGCAGTGCCCACGTCCCCTGTGTCCGCCAGAGCGGCCTGCCCAGCCTTGGCTCCAGGCGCTGAGAATGCCGGCCGGCCGCCCTGCGGAGCTGCGTCGGCTCTGCCCAGCCGTGTGCCAGCAGCGACACAAGCGAGGCTTCGCGAGGGCTCGTGGAGGACGCTTTGTAGCGGACGTTGAATGGTGTTTTTGTCTCTAGATGGGACTTTCTGTTTTCCTCTGCCCGCCCTCACATGCCGTAGGAGTCTCTTCCCGTGCCAGGCCCTGTGCCGCCCGCGCCAGGCCACCGCGTTGCCCTTCATGTTCATGCACCGACCACGTCTTCATAGTGGGTGGCAGGGGCGTGCGCGAACCAGGGCCGCATGTCCAGCGGTGTCGTTGCCCCCAGGTGTGGGGTGCTGGGGGTGCTGGGCGTTGGTAATCTGTGGGGGGACGCAGTCAACAATTTTGCTGGGAAGTTTGGGTAAACTGCAAACATAGAACAAAAAAGCCTATGCATAATGTTGCCCAGTTTCTTCCGTAGCTGCACACCTGAAGGAACAGCCGTGGCAGGCGAGTGGGAGGTGGGGGTCAGACAGAGCTTCAGGCTAGGCCTACAAGGTCAGCCCGCCCCCTCTCCAAGAGAAAGGCAAGACCACACCTGGAGAGAATGGCGCTAAAGACCTTATTTTTATACACCCCAGTACATAAGCAGATATTTTTTTTTACAAAAATAACTGAATTTATCAGTGTTTTGATGTTAAAGGAAAATATTCCTCTGTGGTAAATTATTTATTGGAAGATGATTTTTTAAAAGCTGCTGTTGGCCCTGGCTTGTTTTCATACACTGATTTATTTTTCTATGCTGGGCAGTAGAATCTCTGCCTCGGAGGAGCAGGTTGACCCTCCACGGGTGCCAGCATTGACACAGGATGCTGCTAAGCCCCATGTGCCCCTCAAGATGGAGTAAAATGCCGACTGAGATGCTGAGAGTGAGGGAAGGTGAAAAGGAAGCCGGACTGTGCACATACCCCGGCTTCCAGAGCCACCCGCCTGTCCCTCTGGGTGCTTCACAGCACCCACCGGGCCCTCGGGCCCCTCGTGCCGGCAGCTCGGACCGCATGAGGTCTGGCACACGCAGGCAGGCTGGTGCAGACCAGCCCGGGAGGTCAAGGGCAGGGGGCTGGAGGTGGGGTGTGCGCTGCTGCCCCAGCGGGGTGGGGTCCTGTGCTGTGCAGTTGCCGAGCTGTCCCTGCTCTTCCTGAGGCCGCCTGCGGCGGGAGATTTCCGGCTGAACAGTGCAAGCTCGCCGCCTGCGTTGTATCACTAAACTTTGAACTGTGAGTCTTAGTGCAGTTTCCATGGAGAGTCGCCATTACCGGCAATAGTGCCGTTTTGCAGGCAGTTGCAGCACTTGGGATTTCCCTCAGATCCAGTGACTTTCAAGAGTCCGCACTGGGAACTGTGTTTATGTCACTCAGTTTCCAGGGCAGAACCACAGAGGCGGCCGTGGCAAGCCTTGGCCACCCCCGCCTCTCATTCACTCCCAGACGCACAGAAGTCATCAAAATGTATAATGCAGTGTGTGGTATGTGCGGGGTTTTGTAGGGGGGGAGACTAACATTGACTATAACTTAAAACGGAAGTATACTTTTTATAAATTTTCTTTTTAAGACTTTGTGAAATTATTTCAGATACATATTTTAGTGTCAAGGCAGATTAGTATTTAGCCAGCCAAAAACAAGTATTGTGTACAATTCGGGGCAGTCACAAAGTTGTGTATTTTATGTTACAATAAAGGTTTCCTCTGAAGGAACAGTGCTGAGTCCTGGTGTTTGGTTTGGTTTGGTCTTTTTACCCGGGTGGTGGGAGAGGGCAGTTTCCGACAGGGAAGTCTGAAAGCGTCCGTGTGAGGCTGGGCCGGGCACTAGCTGGGATGGCAGAGGGGGCACTTCTTACCTCCCGGTTCTTGAATTTGAAAATTAGAAGGATCGTCTTTATTTCCTAGCCTCTGACTCCACATTTTCCCTGTTACAAAGCTCATCCCGGACGGCCACATTTTCAGAGTGCCTGCCTGGAGCCAGGTGTTGTCTGTGGAATGAGAAATTGTCTCTTCCCAGAAGGCTGCTGTCAAGGAAGGGAGCTAACATGCCAGTATGACGGATGTCAATACGTGCCTAATAAAGCTATTCTGAGGTCATTGTTAAATACAGAAGAACATAGTGGAAGGACTCCAAACAATAATCCTTAAACAATAGCTGACAAACAATGGTTAAGAAAGGACAAGGCCTTTGTCCAGGACTTGGGCACAGCTGGAGTGAGGGGTGGTTTGTGGGTCTCAATTCCAGGGCGCATCAGAATCTCCTGGGGACATGGCTGACCCCACCCCAAGCGGTTTTTTGTCAGTAGGTCTGGGGTGAAGCCCTGTGTGCATTTCTTTCTTTTTTTAAAAAAAAAGATTTATTTATTTATTTATACAAGCACTGGGTACAGTCAGAAGCGCGGGAGGGTGAGAGAATTCACCAGAGCCAGAGCGGGGAGCAGAGCAGGCAGAAGGACCGAAGTACACTGCTGAGGGGAGCAGCGGGTGGCAGGAGAGGTCTGCGCGCCATGTGGGACCCTCACCCTGTGGCCGGGGATTGAACCGGCGCTGCAGAGGCTGCGGGCAGCTTTGCAACCCAGCGCTCAACCACTGCGCCACCGGGGAGGCCTGCCCTCTGTGCATTTCTGACGCGTTCCCAGGTGACAGGCCCAGGAACACCTTTGCAAAGGACTGTGGTAGTCATGAGCCTGGAAGGGCAGACAGGGGATCGATGCCAGGCTGAGTTACAACTTCCCCGAGCATGATGGCGCGTGATAAAGCCTGTTAAGCCAGGACTGTGACCAGATTGTCAGTGAAGAAATACCGCAAAGATACTGTGTGGGATGGATTGAAAAGAGGCAAAGCAGGAGATCAGGGACCAGCTGGGAGTGTGTGTCCACGATGCTGGTTGCAGGGACGAGGGCACTGCCCGGTGGCCCTGCAGCATAGTTCTTAGACCTGGTGACAGTGCTGGAGGGCAGGGCTGGAGTCCGGAGTGGCTCTGTTCTCTGAAGGGAAATGACTGGTAAGACAGAGGAGAAAGGTATGGGAGGGGGAGCAGGCTGAGGAGAAACTTCTGAGTATGAATCTAGATAAGTTGATGGTGTCCAGGTAGATGTGTGGTAATGAAAACTGAGAGGCTGGTCAGGCTGAGACACCCAGGTGGGAGGAAAGCAGGGAGGGGGCGGGGCTGTGCATGTCTAGGTGGTGGTGAAACTGGGGGTGAGAATGAGCATTTGCAGAAAGGAGAGAAGGAAAGGTAGGGCAGCAACTGGGAGCACAGCGTCACAACAGCCTAGGGAAGGGGAGCAGTGTCAGGGTCTAGAGAGCCCAAGCAGCCTGAAAGTACCCGCTGGCTTTGGCACACAGGATGGTGATGACCTTGGTGAGGACAGTCTGGAATGGCAGGGGCACAAGTCAGGTTGCTGAGCACTGAAGACAAAAGAAGTCACCTCCGGAAGGAAGGCATGAGGCATTCCACAGGCCCGCCCTCTGGTGAACTGGTGAAATTATCACTCTTTTTAAAAGAGTGTGGCGGTCTTCCCTGATGGCACAAGGGGTTAAAACGCAACCTATGAAGCTATTTGCAGCCTCTGCAGCACAAGTTCAAGTCCCGGCCAGGGAGATGACCCACATGGCACAGCGAACCTCTCCTGACTCGCCTGCTGCTCCCCTCAGCAGTGTATTTCAGTAGATCTGCCTGTTCTGCTTCCCACTCTGTCTCTGGTGGATCCTCTCACCCCTCGCATCTCTGGCCTGTACCTCAGCTCTTGTATGCATAAATAAATCTTAAAATAAATAAATAAATAAATAAATAAATAAATAAATAAATAAATAAATAAATAAAAGAGTGTGGCATTTGAACTCACACCTACTCCCTCCTGCCTCCCAGTTCATGGAGATGGAAACCTCTCCAAACCAGACACATCAATGTCCCCACAGCTCCCAATCACAGGGCTGTCTTCTTGGCTAAAAGCAGCATTTTAGGGCCTCCCCGGTGGCGCAGCGGTTGAGCGCTGGGTTGCGAAGCTGCCCGTGGCCTCTGCGGTGCCGGTTCGATCCCCGGCTGCTCCCCGGCCACCGGCGGAGGATCCCACATGGCGCGCAGACCTCTCCTGCCGCCCGCTGCTCCCCTCAGCAGTGTACTTCGGTCCTTCTGCCTGCTCTGCTCCCCGCTCTGGCTCTGGTGAATTCTCTCACCCTCCCGCGCTTCTGACTGTACCCAGTGCATGTATAAACAAAACAAACAAACAAACAAAATAAATAAATAAAACATGCCTCTATAAAAAAAAAAAAATAAAAAGATTAAAAAAAATAAAAATAAAAAAATAAAATAAAAGCAGCATTTTATTCTGCCCTCAGCTGCCTGTGATTGAGAGTATGTTCTGGGTATTTCAGGTGAGAGGTGGACTCCCTTCTGCTCAGGCCCCACTCCTGGGTGGACACTCTACCTTGGGCCTGGTGCTGAGAATCCAGGGACACTTGTTGCCTTAGTTCAGACCCATCAGGTGTTCCACAATGGAAGAGACAAATCACGAAAGCTTGAGGCTACTGTCAACACCCAGTTCCTATCCAGCACTCAGCTTTTGAGGTAAGGACATCACACAGAAGTGGGGCATTACCCCCACCCCAACACTAGAGTCAGGGCTCAGAAATTTTTCCCCAAAGGAGAAAGGCAGACTGTAGACCAGAGAGTTTCATATCTCTCCTCAAAGGAACTGGCTTCATTAGCAAGAAAAGTTCAAACTTAAGTGTCCCCTCAAGCACGGTGGAGGTTGTGCTGAAAAGCAATTGGCAGGAGTACAATAGCTTCATTAGAAACTTCAGGAAAACTAGCTAGTTTCCTAAAGAGAAATGGGGAAAGAGACAGCTGGGAGGACTCTCTTGGGATCAGAACAAATTACAAACACTGCCTTTGAAACTATCCCTTCAAAGAAGGCAGAATGTGTTTGGATCCGTTTGTGGAACAATTTCTTCCTCAGGACATTATTAGGAAAAAATACAGCAGTCAACAATTTAAGTCGCTTAACTGCTGGATGTGCTCAGGGAAAGAGAGATCTGTGAAAATCATTGTGTGCTGGGGTGACTGCAGGCATACTCACACCTGTAACCCTTTGAGGAGCAACATTAGAGGCCTCACCCGGTGTGGGGGAAGGTAGTGGGAACAGGCTCACTAAGCTTACCCCAAACCGTCACTTACACTAAATGAGTAAATCCTTAGTGATACCGGAATTGTCAGGCCTAGTCTCCCAGCCAGGAACGGATCCCAGGCTGCAGGGCAGCGCTGAGCCCCAGCCACTAGACCCCCAAGGGTTGGTGTCTCACGAAGCCGCAGCAAGAACTTCGCAGACTCTCAGGCGAGCAAGCAAGAGGAGGCAGGTTTGTTTAGAAGAAGAAAAAGGTTCTTGAGGAGAAAAAGAGCAGAAATAAAGTGGGACTCCCAGGCCAGGAAACCAGGCCTGGGAGGGCAAGGAAGCCAAAGTGGAGTCGTGTCTCAGGGAATATAGACCTTTTTTCCCTCATTATTCTAAAGCTCCACCAGTCTGTTTGTGATTGGTTGGTTCTCGGCTGTCTCACTTAATTTGCTACTGAGTGGGGGATCTTCACATTCCTTATCTAACAGCTTTCTCTTTCCCCATTTGTTGCATCTTTAAATTTATGGCCCAGTCCTCTGGATGGGCATCCCTGCATTGAAGTTAAACAGCTGCCCTTCTAAGTTGTCCATAAATTAAACCACTCTCCATTTCTCCAATCTCTGCCTCCCTTTACCACCTGAAGGAAACCAGGACCAGCATTAACAATGTTGTCCTTGGTCCTGAGATGTTTGTTTTTCCCAGTGGAATTGATTACATTCCCTTGGTTGTCCTTATCTCTGAAGCCTCCCTAAATTTCTTCAGAGGTCCCCTCCTGCACTGTCCCTAAAACTGCATAATTCCTAGCTTGCCCTGTGTCTCATTAGGAATCACAGCAGCATTATTCACAATGGCCAAAAGGTGAAAACAACAGAAATATCCATGATTAGATGAACAGATAAACAAAATGTGTAGCATACAATGGAATATTATTCAGCCACAGAAAGGAAAAATTCTGACACATGCTATTCAATGTGGGTGAATCTTGAAGAAATTATGCTAAGGGAAATAAGAGAGACACAAAAGGACACATATTGTATGCTCCCCCTCTATGAGGTAATGAGTATTCAAGTGTATCCAGACAGAAGGTAGAAGGGTAGTCGCCAGCGGCTGGGGGGCAGGGAGGGATGGGGAGTTATTTTTATACAGAGGATACAGTTTCAGTTTGGAAAGATGAAAAAGGTTTGGAGATGGATAGTGGTGATGTGGTAAACAACAACAATGTAAATGTACTTAATACCTCTGAAGTGGATACCAAAAAAAAAAAAAGTATTCTTTACAAAATAAAAATAAAGTTAGATCAAAGACCTAGCTAAGATTATAAAACTCCTAGAGGAAAATATAGAAATAAATCTTCATGACCTGAAGTTTGGTGATGAAATCTTCAATATGACACCATAAGCACAAGCAACAAAAGGAAAAGAATAAATAATTGAACTTCAAAATTAAAAATGTGCTTCAAGGGCCTCCCCGGTGGTGCAGCGGTTAAGCGCTGGGCTGCAAAGCTATCCGCAGCCCCTGCAGCACCGGTTCGATCCCCGGCCACTGGCGAGGGTCCCACATGGCACACAGACCTCTCCTGCCACCCGCTGCTCCCCTCAGCAGTGTACTTCGTCCATCTGCCTGTTCAGTTCCCCCTTCTGGCTCTGGTGAATTCTCTCACCCTCCCGCGCTTCTGACTGTACCCAGTGCATGTATAAATAAATAAATAAATCTTAAAAAAAAAAAAAAAAAGTGCTTCATGGGACCCTGCTGAGAGAATGAAAAAAAGACAACTCACAGAATGGGAGGAAATATTTGCAGATCCGGTTACCTGATTGGGGACTTGTATGTCAAATATACAAAGACCTCTTCCAACCTAATAAAAACAAGACAAATGACCCGGTTTAAAAATGGGAAGAGACATGAAAAGACATTTCTCCAAATTCTGTATACCGGTGACTCATGAACACATGGAAAGATGCTCAGCATCATTAGTCATCAGAAAAGTGCACATGTGCGTCTTCACTGACTCAAGACACTTGACACCCCTCTAGGATGGCGATCATCAGCGGCTCAGAGAATAACAAGGATTGCCAAGGATGTGGAAAAGTGGGAACATCGTCCTTCACCTGCAGGGGCTCGAGCCCACAGCGCTCTGGCCGGCGGGCACGGCAGCCCGAGGCCCTGCCCCTTTAAGAGCCCCCCCCAGCCCCGCCGGCCCCGTGACCCGACTTCCCGTCTGCGCTCGGCCCTGCCCAGCCCTGCCCAGCCCTGGCTCCTCTTCCCGGCCGGCCGTGTGCTGAGACCCGCGCGCCAGGGCCCTGGGCGGCCTGTGAGGGAGTCTCTGGGGAGAGAAGACCCTGGGGGCGTCTCCTGGGTCACGCAGGGCAGGGAGCCCCTGCTCGGGGCTCAGGAAGCCCACGGAGCCGGGCCGGGGCGGGTCCTGGGAGGCCGTGGACAGGACATGTCATTAGTTCCCCGCGGCTGTGCGCCAGGGCCGGTGCCCAGGCCCCGCTGGGCCCTGGGAGGGTGTCACCATCCCCATTCCACAGAGCGGGGGCCCGGGCGCGGAGCAGCTAGCTGATCCCCCCCGGCCAGACGGCTGCGAGGGCCAGAGCCAGCATCCCAGCCCAGGTCAGTGGACTCCAAAGCCCGGGATCCTGGCTTCTTCCCAAACTTCCTTTGCCCTTGGTTGCCCTGTGTGCAGGAGGCGGGGGCCGGGGAGAAGGGGTGATCTCCTCCCCCTAGTACCAGCACCAGGTCCCTTCCTCCTCCCAGGAGCTGCCAGAGATGCTGCTGCCGCTGCTGTCCCTCCTCCTGCTGCTGCTGCTGTCCCTGCTGCTGCTGCTGCTGCTGCTGCCGCCACTGCCCCTGCTCAGGCGCCGGCCGCCCCGGGATGCCGGGCTGTCCTGGCTTGCCAGCCTCCAGCACCGGCTGGCCTGGGGGGCGCTGGGCTGGGCGGCTGCCTGGCAGCAGCGGAGACTGGAGCAGAGCACTGTGCACGCAGGCCAGAGGCAGCAGCAGGCCCTGAGGTGGTGTCTTCAGGGAGCCCAGGGTTCCCGCTGTCCCCTCGCAGGGAGCACAGGTGTGTTTCCAGGGCCTAGGGAGGTGGCCCGAAGGGAAAGAAACCCCTCAGGACAGTGAGATTCCAGCTCCTGCTCCCCTCTACCCAGAGACCCGAGGTTCAGGTTGTCCCAGATGGGGTCCCCCATCCTGGGCCCTGACAGCCCCCACCTCCCAGTTTATTCTGGGTTCTTTCCCTAAGGGTCTCAGCAGTCTGGCCTGAGATTCTTGGGAAACTGGCATCCTGAGGAGCGTGTGGTGTCTTTGGTGCCACAGACACGAGCACCTTCAGGAGTCACCTCCCTCTGACCGAGACCAGCCAGGCCCAGGAGGAAGAAAGGCAGGAGCAGCTCTTGCCCCCCACCGCAACCCGGTACCATGGGGAGGCCTCTCTGCAGGTAAACTGAGAAGGCGGGAGCCCAGCCCTACCAGAGACCCCTACTTGTAGCTAAACCCACCCATCAGGGAGGACAAAGAAGCCCCAAACTACGGGCTCAGGACCATCCTCTCTTCGTCTCTCTCCAGGCCACCCTGCTGAGTCTGGAGGCCCTAAGCAAGGCCTACCCAGAAGTGCTGGCTCCTGGAGGCACTGCTCGTGTGACTCCCACCTCCCCCTGGCCCTGCCCCCTCCCCTGGCCCTGCCAAGTTCTGGACCAGGTTGGCCCCCCTGGGGCCCAGGACTCCAGGTCCCTGCTGCTTGAGGCACTGAGGCACCCAGGGCTGCGGGTTCTGGAAGCCGGGACAGCAGCCGAACTCCTGGATATTTTCTTGGGCTTGGAGGCTGATGGTGAAGAGCTGGCTGAGGCAATAGCTGCTGGGAACCCAGGAGTGCCCCTCCCCAGGCGGGCAGCTGAACTGCGGGAGACCCTGGAGCAGGGGCCCCGAGGACTGGCCCTCCGGCTCTGGCCGAAGCTTCAGGTGGTGGTGACTCTGGACGCAGGAGGTCAAGCCGAGGCGGTGGCTGCCCTGGGGGCCTTGTGGTGCCAAGGCCTAGCCTTTTTCTCGCCTGCTTATGCTGCCGCTGGAGGTCAGCAAGAGTCTTCGTGAAGTAGTGAGCTAGGTCAAGGGTCAGGGGTCAGGGGTCGAGCCCTACATCAGCTAATCCTCCCCAACACCCTGCACATCCCAACTCAGCAGCTCCATTTCACGGATGAAGAAGCTGAGGTTCTTAGAGGTTGCACACCACCTGCACAAATTCACACAGCGCCGCACTCACCCCCAGTTCTCGGAACCACTGTCTCTTCCCAGTTAGGGCCTTGGAGGCAATGGGCTGGGCCTGGGGGAGCAAGGAAGGATGGGGTGGAAGGGCAGCAGGGGGATCAGATGCTCAGAGGCTTGGTGTCTAGAGCCCATGGGCCTGGCCTCACCCCCACTCAGCCCCATCAGGTGCCGCCAGGGTTGAGGGGCCAGTGCCTGGCAGGAAGCAACGGCACCACTAGATAGAGGCCACTTGCTCCCCACAGGCGTGGTGGGCCTGAGCCTGTGGCCAGAGCAGCCCCGCGGGTGCTACCTGCTGCCCCCTGGAGCTCCCTTCATCGAACTGCTCCAAGTCACGAAGGGAGCCCAGGAAGAGGCTGCCCCCACCCTTCTGCTGGCCGAGGCCCAGCAGGGCGAGGAGTATGAGCTGGTGCTGACCGACCGTGCCGGCCTCACCAGGTGATCACCCCCTCCCTCCCTCGGCCTGCCCACCTCAGTCTCCTACCTGCTTGTTGAGGCCCAGGGTCAGGACGGGCCCATGGGCCTGGCCTCACCCCCACTCTGCCCCATCAGGTGCCGCCAGGGTGATGTGGTCCGGGTGGTGGGTGCCTACAACCAGTGTCCAGTAGTCAGGTTCATCCGCAGGTAGGTGACCCCCAAGGGGCTGAGGGACTGTTGCTGTGCCCTGGGCTCCTCTGCCTCTCTCCCGACTCCTCCCCAGGCTGGGCCAGGCCCTGAATGTGCGGGGAGAAGACATTGAAGAGGACACATTCTCTGAGGCCCTGAGCCGGGCGGTGGGGCAGTGGCCAGGGGCCAAGCTGCTGGACCACAGCTGTATAGAGAGCAGCATTCTGGGTAAGCTCCTTCATGGCCTCCTGTCTCCTGGTCTTGGGTGGTGGGCTCCCATTCTGCTGGGAGACCTCTAGGGAGGAGATAACACCCAGCCTCCTTTGCTGCTCCCCACGTCTAACCCCCATCCCTGCTGCTGCAGTCGGCACTTCCTGTCCCGTCCTGTTGCCAGGCTCTGGGGTCCTCTCCATTTACCCGCTCCCCACGAAGAAACTCCTTTCCCATGAACCTCAGCGAGGAACAGAACTGATGGGGGCAGAGGGCACTGGCAGCCTCCCCTGCCCCCGCTCACGTGCATGGGGTTTGCTCTGCAGATTCCTCCGAGGGCTCTGCTCCCCACTATGAGGTGTTTGTGGCTCTGAGGGGGCTGAGAAACCTGTCAGAGCAAAACCGAGACAAGGTAAAGAGGGACAGGATCCAAGTGTGTCCCCGGGTGCCTTGGGGAGAGGGGGTCGGGAGGAGACCTTCCCCGGGGCTCTGGGAAGGGAGGGATGAGTCCCACACACGGGTACACGTGAAACTCCACACTGACCCTGGGCACAGCCTTGCACCCCTCACCCCACACCCCGCAGCCCCGTGCCAGCCTCACGCAGGCCGTTCTGTTCCAGCTTGACCGCTGCCTCCAGGAAGTCTCTCCCCGCTACAAGTCCCTGCGGTTCCGGGGCAGCGTGGGCCCTGCCAGAGTCCACCTGGTGGAGCCGGGGACCTTCCGAGCACTCCGGGAAGCCCTGGCTGCCCGCCCCGAGTCCCGGTTCCCTCCGGAGATGCCCCGCGTCCTTCGGCACAGGCACCTGGCCCAGTTCCTGCAGAGGGGGGTGGTGTCCTGAGCTGAGGCCTGCCCCCTGCCCGGTCCACCTCACAGGTCACCTCACTCTTTCCTCTGGGGCCTCTCTGGATGGGGAGCCCCTGGCCAGGGCCTCTGACTCTGTGTCACCTGACAGTCACTCATCAGAGCTGCTGGGTCTTGGGGCCGGGCGGGGGGTACCGGTCCGACCTGGGCGGCGGTTCTGAGGCGTGGGCTTCAAAGCATAGATGCCAGCAGTGCCCCGCCCCGAGCCCCCTGCCCACCCTGGAAGGAACTGCTCCAGAGCCCCCCACACGCCGGCGGTCCTGTGTCCAGCCCAGCACACCGGCAGGCCAGCAGGGATGGGACTCACAGCCCCGGAAGCGGCCCTCGGTCAACAGGGAACAGGAGCTGGTGGATGCAGGCCTCAGTTTCTCTGTGCCTCGGTGGGGTGATCCGGAAGCAGCCTCTGCACCGTCTCTGGAGGGTGCCCTCCAGCTGCCCACAGCAGGAACCTGACCCTAACTGGTCTCCCTCCCATCCCCGCCCCTTAGTGTGCTTTCTGGGATCACCTCCAAAATAAACCTTTTGCACCCAGATTCTTGACTTGGGGTCTGTGTGGGGAAGCTGTAGTGGTCCCATTTGCTCTGCTCTGGCCATAGTCAGGCCTCCCCCGGGCTCCCTTTTAGGCTGTAGGCACCAGGGCTTTCCCCCACTCTCCACTCCGGGGGTGGGCGGAGGCCCCAGGTGTGTGCACTCGAGGGCCCTTGGGACTCCAACCATGCCTAGGTCAACCCAGAAGTCACAGAGCCCCCTCATCCTACCTTGCCCCGCCCCAAGCTGAACCTCAAAGTGGAGAGGCTGCTCCCCAACTCCCCTTGACCAGGCTGAGCACTGATCCCTCTCTGGCCCATGGGAGGGTGGGAGAGCCACTTCAAAGCATCACAGCAGGCAGCACCCCAGAATCCACGTGGGCTCACTGTTCCTCTTCCCAGTGGGGGAACTGAGGCTTTCTTAGGTTGTGGGGTGTGTCCCATCCCCCAGCTCCACCTGGGTAAAGCAGCACCTGTTCCCAATCAGTGGCCAAGTCTGCGACTCTGCCTCAATTCTGGATTCTACGCCCCCACGGCCCCCGCCCCCGTCCTCACCCCCACATTAACCCGGGACTCCTTGCTGAAATCCTCCCCTGGGTCCCCCGCTGCCCACAGGGTTCAGACCACTCAGCTGAGCAGGGAAGAGCCACCAGGCCCTCCCTCACCTGTCCAGCCACCGCCTCCTCCAAGGGAAGCCGCCTCGATGAAGCGGGCCACGCCCTGTCCCGCGCGGGCCTCAGCACTGTCACCGCCAGTCTGCCCCAGAGGTTCCGTCTGTGGACCTGAGGGAAAGTCGCTTCTCATGCAGCCCCATTTCGGAGTCCTTTCTCCCACCGAGCTGACTATGCCAGTCACCTCCCCACCTGGACATGCGAGCTCCCTGAGAACTGCGCAGGTTCCGTGCCCACCGCTGCCCCAGGGCCCAGCGCAGGGCCTGCCCCAGCTCAGGGGCTCCCTGGGCAGGCCCTGGATGTGGAAGACTCGGGCTTAGAGTTGGCAGGGGTCCTTCACCCCTGGAGGCTCACTGCCTGCTGAGGGCGGGAGGGGACTCCAGCCCCCCACCCTCAGGCACCTGACCAGGAAGGAAGTCAGAGGCTGAAGGACGGCCCAGGCTTGGCTGCTTTCTCCTCTGCTGCCCAGGTTCAGTTTTCAAGGTTTTCTCTCTTGGAGGTTGGCGGGAGGGGCAGAGGGAAGAAGACAGCTCGGGGAGGGAGAGCCGGCTCAGGAGGCGGCCGTGGAGGAGGAAGGCCCTGGAGCCTGGCGGTCAGCAACGGGGAGCAGTGGAGAGAAGCCTGCGACCCAGCCACCTGCCCCCCACCCGGTGGAGAGCGGGTCTCAGGACCGCCTCCTGTGGCCCTAATTAGCAGCTGCCCCCCCCACCCCACCATTGTCCCAGCCCAGCACCCCAGCCAAGGTCTCTTTTGTGCTTCCAGATTCCTGGGTGCAAGGTGGCCTCATTAGTGCCCGGAGACCACCCCATCTCCAGGGAGCAAGCAGACAGACAAGGGGGGCACCGCAGGCACCGTGATCCAACTCCAGCCTCCGGGCGCCTTGGCGGCCATTCCTTGGACCCAGCCTGGAGACGGCCCCGCTGGTGGAAGCTAATCTTAGACCTGCCTTTGTCTGAGCCCAGAGCAGACGCAAGTGCCCATCTCCACCCCCCCCTTCTCAGAGCACTATAAACCCCAGGCCCCTGGTAGCAGGTTATGGTCAACGATTTGGCCCCCTGCAGACACCACCTTTCCTGGCTGGTCCCTCTGAGCTCCAGACACCATGAGCCCTTCCTCCTGTAAGGTAAGACCCAGCGCCACCGCAGGGGTGCTAAGAGTGCTTGCTGGGGGGCTAGAAGGCAGAGGGTGCTCTGCTCTCGGCCTTTTCCCACGTGCGCGCTGAGACAGGGACGGGGGTCCTCGACCAGGAGACTGTCTTGACAGACGCTGTGCCCTCTTGGCGTGAGACCTCACGGCTCCCGCACGCCCTGTGTATGGGCGCTGTGCGTTCAGTCACCTCATCCTGTCCTCCCTCCCGCGGCGCCCCGCACTCTGGGCATCATTTTACTCCCCAGCTTACAGGAAAGAAGCAAGCCCCGAGAGGGTAGGAAACTGGTCCATGGCCACGGAGTTCAGCGCCCACTGCAAGGAGCAGCTGAACAAGACAATTTGGATCCTCTCAGTCCTCATTTTGCCCACCCTGGGGAGGGCGCGGGGACTAAACAGGGCCTGTGTCCCTGAGCGTTCAAACTTCCAGAGCAGATGGCCTCGGGCACGCCTGTTCTCTCGGGACATGATAAGCGCCTGAATGGGGGTGTAAGGGACTAAGGCATCCGGAGAAGAGATTCATTCCTGGGTCCTCCTAGAGGAGGGGTGTGCCGGGTCTTCCAGGACGAGCAGGAAAAGGGCCAGATGAGGTCCTTCTGCACCAGAACCCTTCGGAGTCGAGCGGAGGCAGGAAAACTAGGGCACAGCGAGGAGGCGGAAGCCAGGAGGGGGCCCAGCTGCGCGGGCCCTGGGCGCTGGAGGCGGGGGCGCCGCCACAAGACCCCCAGCGCCCCGTCTCCGCCTCCCTAGGTGTCCTGGGCCGCCGTGACGCTGCTGCTGCTGCTGCTGCTGCCGCCCGCCCTGCTGTCGCCCTGGGCGGCCGCCCAGCCCCTGCCTGACTGCTGCCGCCAGAAGACGTGCTCCTGCCGCCTCTACGAGCTGCTGCACGGCGCGGGCAACCACGCGGCGGGCATCCTCACCCTGGGCAAGCGGCGGCCCGGGCCCCCGGGGCTCCAGGGCCGGCTGCAGCGCCTCCTGCAGGCCAACGGCAACCACGCGGCGGGCATCCTGACCATGGGCCGCCGCGCAGGCGCAGACCCGGCGCCGCGCCCCTGCGCCGGGCTCCGCTGCCCCGCGGTGGCCGCAGCGTCCGTCGCGCCGGGGGGGCCGCCCGGGCTCTAAACCCTCGGTCGGGCGTCTCCTAACTCGGCCTCTCCCCTCTGCTCGCGGCTGTCGGCCCTCAGAAAAGCGGAAATAAAGGCGAGCCGCCGTTAGCACGCTGTGTGTGGCTGTCTGGTCGTGCCCCCTCCAGGGGGCCTCAAAGTCTGCCAACTCGAAAGAGCCCGAGACTCTGGAGAGCCCCCTCCAGGGCACCCCAGTTGGGCATCCAAAACGCTTTGGATGGGGCGCTCCCTGAACAAAGGTCCGTGGCAGACCCTCCCTCGTGCGCTTAGGGAACCGCGGATATGCATGCTTGGAGGGCATGTGTGGACGGCCACACATGTCCCTCTGTGCACCACTGGTTATTCTCCAGGCCTTGAAAGAGAGACACTGGGGGGCTGGGGTAAAGGGGGGAGCCATCCCCGGGAGGGGTAGGAGCTGAACCTGCCCCAAAAGGCAGGAAATAGGAGGTTCATCCAGAGAGACTGCAAAGTGAGGTGCAGGGTAACCAGAGCTGTGAGCATGGGGGCGTGGTGGGGCGACGGGAGGTGGTTGGATTCCTACAGCCAGGATTGTGGGGCCTCCCAAATCACTCTGTAGGTAACTTGGAATCACCAGTTGTTCTTAAGGAGACATGTGGAAAGATTTTCACTGCAATTTTAGGCAAACACCTATTATGGGTTGAAGTGCGCCCCAGCATTTCAGAATGTGACGTTATTGGGAAATTGGGTCATTGAAGATGGAATTAGTTAAGATGAGGTCATACTGGAGTTGGGGGCGGCAACCCAATATGAATAGTGTCATTACAAAAAGGGGGACTTTGCACACAGAAATGCACACAGGAAGAATCTGTGTGACCATGACCGCAGAGGTGGGGTGAGGCAGCTATAAACCAAGGAACACCAAAGATTGCCAGCGATCCACCAGAAGTTAGCAATTCCTCCAGGCTTTCAGGAGGAACTGACCCTACTATCATCTTGATCTTGGACTTCTAGCCTCCAGAACCGAGACAATAAATTTCTGTTGCTTATTCCGCTCACATTGTGGTCCTTTGTTAGTGCAGCCCTAGGAAAGGAATGTAACACCCCAAAGTAGAGACAGAAAGATGTGGCACTTTTCAACAATCTAGCACCCCCGAACGCCCCCGTGTACAGGGCTTAGACCCTGGGGGTGATGAGCATCAGGAGTGCAGGCTTGCTCTCTCAACCACCCATCTTTCTAGATCACTGACTTCAGCTGTTTCGGTCCAGGAAGCAGCCACCTTGAGCCATCACACACAGCTGCCCCAGTATCTTTCTGCTTCCAGAGTGGAAAGGTCTGTGTCTGACTTCCCCTGGGTCCTATTTGCTGCTGCACTGATTTATCTTAGAGCAGCTGGAGCTCAAAGTCCACCAGAAATCTGCAAAGGGCCACTTTGTCCACCTTTCTTGGTCCCAAACTTGTCTCCAGCTTCTCTTCCACTTGATTGGCACCTAAGAGAAGGAGCATTACAACATAGCAAGAGAATAGGAAAAGGGAGACTAGGGAGACAACTGCTTTCTGGGTTACTTACTTTGTGCCCCCCACGGTGGATTATTAGCTCCATTTTACAGATGAGGAAACAGGCACCATTAAGGGGCAGACCTGGGACTCCACCTGTTGACTCTAAAACTTGAACCCACCTGCTGTGCTCAGAGGCAGAGCTCATTCGCAAAGATGCCCTTAAACAGAGGCCCAGGTGAGGGGTAAACAGGGCGTCCTGGAAGTGGAGTTCCCAGCCTCCCGGCAGATCCCGGGCAAAACCAGTCAGTTTAACCCTTGCTGTCTCACAGGCAGCCCGGAGCGCGCCGGCTGCCGCGGAGTATCTGGGCTCCAGCAGGCGGCACTACGAGCCAGACGCCATTCCCGGCGTGGGCGCTGCGGGGAAACCCGCGGGGCGGAGCCACCCGGAGCCGCCGGGGAACCACGCGTGGGGGCGTGGCCTCCCGGGCGGGGGGCGTTTCTGCCGTTCAAGTCCCGCCCCCATCTTTTCAGGCCAGGGTTCCAGGTGGGCGTGTCCCGAATTCTCCCCGGGAGAGACACGCGTGGGCCGCTCCCCTCCCGGGGGAGAGCAGCCGAGAGGGGTTCGGGTGTCGCTGGTGGCCCCTCCCCGTGCGGGGCCACGTGGCGGGCGCGGGCCGAGCCCGGGGGAAAGAACCTGGCCCGTGGGGAGGGGGAACCGAGGCGGCGCCGCAGCCAGCCGAGAGCTGCAAGGTTTCAGGCAGAGAGGCGGCGGCAGCAGCGGCGGCTGGAGGGAGGGAGGAGGCAGGCGGGCGCATGGGGCGCCCCGGCCCCGCCGGCAGCGCGCCCCCTCCGGCCCGGCCGCGCTGAACGCCCCCCGGCGCTGAGCCTTGAACCCGCGCCCTAAGGCCATGCCGGTCATGAAGGGGTTGCTGGCCCCGCAAAACACCTTCCTGGACACCATCGCCACCCGCTTCGACGGCACGCGTGAGTGGAGTGGAGGCTGGGGCTGGGGGGTTCCAACTGGGGTCCAAGTCTCCTTGGGGGCTCCTGGATGTGGTGAGAACCGAGTCCAGGAGAGCGAGCGGAGCTGAGCGTCTAGGAACTCCACGCCGCGGTGGGGGGCCAGGACCTGGAGCGTCGGGGAGGGGCAAAGGGCCAAGAGCGTGGGGGGCGGGGGGGGGGCGCAAGGCTGAGGGGTGTGACTTGAGGCTGGAAAGGCTCTTTGTGCGGCAAAACCGAGAAGAGGCCTTGGGAGCCGCCCACTCCAGGGCAGAGCCCTGCTGGGGGCGTGTGTGCGGGTTTCCAGGGCGCGGAGGCGGGACGGAGTGGCCGTGCTCTCCTGCGGGTCCATCCCAAACGGCCCAGCATCCCTTCCCCCAGGGAAAAAAAGGGGGGAGAGAAAAGATCAGATATCGGCAAGACCTAGCTTTGATGAGGTCACGAGCCCCAAATCGTGGCACGTCTGTGTCTGAGGGGGGTGAGGCAGGAGGAGGAGGTGGTCTGCGTGACGGAGGGAACTCCCCGCTCCCCCACCCCAGCGTGGGTTCCCGGTTCAGCACCTTGGACAGCCACAGCCCTCCCTCCCTGGCCTTTTCTCCACTGGTCTTTTCCTACTTTGAAGCCGGGAGCTCTCCCCCTGCCCTTTTGGGCGCCCTGACCAGGATCTGCAAAGGGGGAGGAGGTGAGCGGCACCCGAGGGCGGAAACCAAGCCGCCCCGGGGCCCTAACAGCCTCTCCTCCTTCCCCCCCCCTCCACACCTCCCTTGTTTCCATAGCGCCCATCACCGGGGCAACGGGCCCTGGGATGGAAGAAGGAGGCTGCTGCCCAGGGCCCAGAGCCTCTCAGGCACCCTCAGTGTCCCCATCAGTCTCCCCACCCCCAGACACTCATGCCTCCTAGCTCCCAGGGACTGGCTGTATCTCAGGCCCCTTCCCTCGCGGAGACGCTATCCCTGAATGACCCACAGGAGTCGCCTTGTGGCCTCCCACCCTTTGGAGCTGGAGGGAATCAGCTCAGGTTCTGCTGCTGGGATTGTTGGAACCACAACTTCATTACCCTGTCCTGTCAGACTTTGGGCACTGGGGACAGACCCCCCTGCAATTAGCTAAAAGAATGCTAAAAGGAGGACCTTTCCTGGAAGGCAGGGAGTGAGGATGCTGCTCATCACTGTCTCTTCCCTCACCCCACCCCCAAATGAGATTTGTGAGTTTGGCTATTCTGCATTTTGGTTTCCTAGCGATAAAAAGGACGTACCAGCACCAGAATTTCTGCCCTGTCCATTCTCTAATAGGGTGGCAGGATGGCCGCTGACGTGTTTTGAAAGCCATGTGAAAATGGGGGAATTATTTCATCTTTCAGTGGAGCGCTTTCTATGTGCTGGGACTTGTTCTTGTCAAGTAACTCATGTAACTCTCACAACCACCATGTGAGAGTTATTATTATCCCCCACTTTGCAGATAGAGAACCAAGGCACAGAAGAGTTAATTAACTTGCTTAAGGTCACACAGTCAGTAAGTGGCAAGGGTGGGGTGCTGGAGCTCATGCTCTTACTCACCAGGCTATGCTGCCTCCTACAGTCATAGCTCACCAGCTTGAAAGCAGGGGGGATGGACCACGTGAATTCTCCAACCCCCTAGTAGTCCCTGTCCCAGTTCCAGGCCATCCATGAGTCCTGTCCCTTTGCTCTATCTCTTCTTACTGTCATTTCAGAATATCCCAAAGGGGGTTGGTCCAGCGATCACATGGAAGTCTGGAAAGGTACAGCTTGAAAACTCAGCTCCCCTCCTGGTCTTGACTTGACCTTGACCTCTTTTCCTACAGACAGCAACTTCCTGCTGGCCAATGCACAGGGTCCACAGGGCTTTCCCATCGTCTACTGCTCTGACGGCTTCTGCGAGCTCACAGGCTACGGCCGCACCGAGGTCATGCAGAAAACCTGCAGCTGCCGTTTCCTCTATGGCCCAGAGACCAGTGAGCCAGCCCTGCAGAGGCTGCACAAGGCCCTGGAGTGCCACCAGGAGCACAGGGCTGAAATCTGCTTCTACCGCAAGGATGGTGAGGGGGCCTGACCTACCCTGCAGCCCTGCTCAGACCTCAGGCCTTATCCAAAGTCCTTGGCACAGTAGAAGCCTGGGTGTTGGTCCCCACGTGGCTGAAAGCTGATACTACCTGCACTGAGTTCAACCCTGACCCTTTCTGGGCCTTGGTTTGCCCATCAAGAAGATGGAGTCAGGGCCTCCCCGGTGGCGCAGCGGTTGAGCGCTGGGTTGTGAAGCTGCCCACAGCCTCTGTGGCGCTGGTTCGATCCCTGGCTGCTCCCCGGCTGCTCTCCGGCCACTGGAGGAGGGTCCCACATGGCACGCAGACCTCTCCTGCCGCCCGCTGCTCCCCTCAGCAGTGTACTTCGGTCCTTCTGCCTGCTCTGCTCCCCGCTCTGGCTCTGGTGAATTCTCTCACCCTCCCGCGCTTCTGACTGTACCCAGTGCTTGTATAAATAAATAAAAATAAATAAATAAATAAATCTTAAAAAAAAAAAAAG